ATCATTCTATGGCCTACTGAAAATGACCGTACCTGAGCACCTATGCATTTTTGCAGAGCATATTCTATGAGTGGTTAATTATGGAGTTATAATTATATGAAGTTCAGGAGGGCAAAGATGCTCTTTGGTGTTAAAGAAATTCAAGATTTGTAGTGATGCTTGTGTTGCTGTCTACAAGTTATGAATCCATGCAAATTTGGTGGCTCCTCCTGATACCTGCCCAGGCTCTGATTGGCAAATCAAAACTTGATGTTGTATATGATGCCTCCCAAATTGAGTCAGTACCAATTATTCTTGGAGATGTTTATTCTTGATCCATTATGACATGAAAACAGAAGAATGGAGAGACATAGAACAAAGTGTAAATGCTCTTTTGGCATGTTATGCTTTTTTAACATTCTTATCATTTATCTTCTTGTTTGATTCATGGTTGGTGTGTAGTTTAAATTTATAGCTTGACAAACATGATAGCCATGCCAAGAGGGAAGGTAGTTAATATTTTTCCATGATAGACATGGCAAGAGGAAAAGTTGCTAGTATTTCTCTATTATTTTTTCGTCTGTTTTAGTCTTTCGAACTCGGTAATGACCTTCTTTTCCTTACTTGGTGGCAATGATTTTGATTTATTAAGGCTGCGCACATCATCATTTGATCATTGACAATAAAATGGTTTATTTTCTATTAGCTACTGGTCTAGACTTTGGAGTACCTGTGACATGATTTTTTTCCTTTAAATCAAAGACTGTGACATATGTATCCACACCATATTATAATGTATTAGAAAATGGTTTCTTTTATGAGGCCCACAAAGACCAATTATTAAACCTGATTGATTTCTTCTGTCTAGGGGTAGGTAAGTAAAACACCACCCAAACCGTTGAAAAGACTGGACCGATTTGAAACAAGCAATACTTAATTTTATTGAGTTCAATTTGGTTTATTTGAAATTCTCTAACCCCAATCAAACCACATATTTATCTGTTATCATCTTCGTTTACTGTTGTAACACATCTTATACATTTCTCTCTCTCTCTCTCTCTCTCTCTCTCTCTCTCTCAAAACTCCTCTTATGCTAAAAGTCTTTGTTCAATTTATAGTATGAAGTTTGATATTATATAAGAGAACATAAGGTATTTAGTTAATTATTTGTGAAAGGAGTTGAGGCGGGATTTTGGTCTAAAAATTAAGATAGTTTATAGATCATTTATCACATGGTTCATTCATCTTCATTAATAGCAGCCTTATTCAAAGTTCTTATTAAATTCATCTTAATTATTCATTGTATTGGGATTAAACATGCATTATTCCAAGTGTTGATACACGTATAATTATTTAGGAAGGTTAACATATTCATCATTCATGTAGGGTTCTTCTATGACCACACTATGTAAACCTCACCGAACTAAACTGAATCTTGCTGTTATCATTGATTTGGTTGCAGTTTGAGACTTAAATCGAATAAAATTGAGCAGGTTGAGACCTAAATCGAACAAAATTAGGCAATTTGAGACCTCATTCGAATAAAATTAGGCTGAGTCCATCCGATTACTAGCGCTTCCATTAGTCACCTCTTGTGATCCTACCTCAATAACCTCTCGTGAAAACAAAAAGAATATTTTGTTGCAGTGTATATAATTAACAAGAGTTTTATTGATGCAAAATACAAGTAGTTGGAAAGGATTTGGAAACCCATGCCAAAATTTCGGTGCTGCTAAGGAAACATCACCAAATATACCAATTTATCCATATAAATTACATGTATATGGTCCTATTATCCAATTTTAAATCTTAAATAGTAAAATTTTAGGCCGTTAAAATGTATGTGAATTGATAACACCAGTGAGCAGGCCACCTAATCTCTCCGTCACATACACCAATCTTTTTTCCTAATTCGGGTTTTATAATTCAGAAAAAAAAAAAAACACCTAAAGTAATAAACTACATGCTCAATTTGTTTTGTGCGCGCTTATTCTATATTAAAAACAAATAATTAATTAAATTGTGCATCAAAAGTCTTTGGAATCATATTAATAGAATAGGACTCAGTCTCTCATGTATTCTCTGATGGAGGAATGGATAGAGTATCTTGATTACATCGAGGAGACGAACCAGCCCAGCGATTTCCTTTGGCCTAATGACACTCCTTCATTTAGGGAATTCGAATTCTCTGCTGTTGATGTTCCTGCTGCTTTCTCACCGGAAAAAGAGTGCCCTCGCAAAAGGTACTTTCTTGTTTTTTCATTTTCCCGTGAATCTGCAGTAATGTAATTGCTTTCTGTGTTCTGAAAGTGCCAAGCTTTTTGTCATTTTAATGGTGTTTTGGTTGTTGGGTTTGATCATGAAACAGGGGACGAACCGATTCTTCTTGCTCTGGGTCTGGAGCGAAAGCCTGCCGTGAGAAGTTGAGGAGGGAGAGATTGAATGACAGGCATGCATCCAATCTCATTTTTCTGTCTTTTCTTTTTGTCTTTTGTTTTTTGTTTTTTGTTGAATTGGGTTAATTTGTATTGATCAGATGAGTAGATTTTATTATTTTTCTTTATTTATTTTTGATTGGAAACATGTTGGTTTTGATTCTTCTTGCAGGTTTGTGGAGTTGAGCGCTGTTTTAGAACCTGGGAGACCGCCCAAATCTGACAAGCCTGCTATTCTTGATGATGCCATAAGGGTTTTGACCCAGCTGAGAGCTGAAGCTCAGGAGCTCAAAGAAACAAATGAAAAGTTACTTGAAGAAGTAAAAAGTTTAAAGGTTCATCATTTCCTAGCTCATTTACTTAAAGTATTTTTGTTTTCTTTTGAATGAAAGTTATATTATGAGATTTGGACCATTTGGTAGCTGGCACAGAATTTGTCAAAAACATATCTTGGTATTTTTAATCTTTGCCTCCCTGGCTGGGTTGAGAACATGTCAATAAAAGTTATGATCATGTTCATATATAGATTTTAGATGAAGGTATGAACCTCCAGAATGAAAGTAGCCATCATAGGCTTTAGATCATCTTCATTCATTCAATTATAGTGTTGGAGAAGACAAATAACACTGAGTTTGAAAGCAATATTCTTTTCATTTCAGCTAATCCTTTCGAGCCATCTCTGCAATCTTGTATTTCAAACTTATTTGACCTTAGCTTTAGTTGATTGAAAATGAACAGAAAATTGCTTCAGATGATCTTAAAGTTATGATAGGCCTTTATGATTGATTTTAAAGTATTATTTGTTTCCATGTGGTTTGTGGTAAACTCGGGTAAAATTCCAAGCATCCCTTTTGCTTCACTTGATACCTTGGACAAGCTCCTCTCGGCTGGAGATTATACAATAAATCATTTCAACAATGACTTGATTTGTACCATGTATAAGTTGATTCTATAAAAGATTCGTTCCACCAAAAACTTATCCTTTATTATCATAATTTACAGTCGTAACTATTCAAGATACCCCTTTCAAGTGTGTAGAATCCCTATATAACTTTCTTGTAAGCTTTCATTCATCCATCATAACATTAGGTCAGCTTCTTTCTTTGACCTTGACTTCTCTCCCATTGCATTGCGATGATGGACTGGTTTTCAATCTTTTGTTTTTAATCAGAGGCATGAATTACTTAAAGGTGCATTTGGATGCACGGATTAAGACGCAAGATTGAAATTTCAAGATTAAGTCTACATTTGTTGGAGTATTCATAAAAAGAAATTACAACATGTTCAAAATGACTAGATATAAATTAAGACAAGATTGAAATTTCAGGATTAAGTCTACATTTGTTGGAGTATTCATTAAAAAAAAAAAAGTACAACATGTTCAATTAAGTCTACATTTGTTGGAGTATTCATTAAAAAAAAAAAAGAACAACATGATTATAATGACTAATGCAATATTTTGAATTTGAAATAACTAGGTACAATGCATCATTTAAAATCCGTGTACAAAATACGTTTTAGAGAAAGGGAAACTTTTGTTGCTTTCTTCCCCTACAGGTTCAAATATTTATGTATTGGTAGGGTTTGATCAATTTATACTAAAATTCCTCAATTTCAAATGAAACATAAGGTTATTTTGAACTCTTGAGGTACAATTTGGAATTTAGAATCAGGGTGGTTGTTAGACGGTTCAAACTCTCCCCATATTTCAGTTTTACTACTTGAGAAGTTTTGAGTACTCACTTTGTTGACTGTTCTTGCCTATGACAGGCAGAGAAGAATGAACTCCGTGAAGAGAAACTTGTACTGAAAGCAGATAAAGAAAGGTTGGAGAAGCAGTTGAAAGGTATGGCAATTTCACCTTCTGGGTTTGTTCCAACCCACCCAGCAGTCCCAGCTGCATATCATCCTGGGGCAAGCAAGATGGCAATGTATCCTAGCTATAGTCTGGTTCCAATGTGGCATTATTTACCTCCATCGGTCCGTGATACATCTCGTGATCATGAACTTCGGCCCCCTGCTGCTTAGATGTTTCATCAAGTATTTGGATAATTTAGATGCCTTCATTTACATTTACTGACAATCTTATTGCTTGTTGGCAATCTATTTGTCAGCACTGTTTCAATTGCCTGATTTAGTTTGGCTGGTGGCAAGTCTCTGTCAGAATTGTTAAATGTAGCTAGAAGGCATTTTGGGATTAAAACAATTAGTAATGTCCAGTGTTCACCATATTTTTCTGTAAGATGATCCAGTGCTGGTTTTTAACTTTCTGATGTTTCTAACTGCATTGTGCATATATTGAAGTTGATGAAATTTGAGGATTGCTTGAATAAATAAGATCCAAACAAATAAATATAACAAGCAAAACAATAGATGGAATTTTGTGGAAAGGTGAATTTGGTATCTTTAATCAATTTGGAATTTGTAGCAGAAATTAATAGTGTACAGTCTCTTTCTCTTGCTCCCATATTTGCTCACTCAACTTTTCTTGCTGCCTTCATCTTCTTCTTTTAGGTTTGATTGCTTCTGAATTTCGATTTGTGAATTCCCTCTCAATGGATTCCAGGGAAGGATCCAATCTAATCTTTATGGTTCATCATGTAGCACATCGGTCTTAGCTGAAGTGATTTTCTGTATGTTTTTATCCTTGTGCTCTTCTGACTTGATGTAAACTTCATCACCTTCTCTACCCCACAATAGCAAGTATAGGCCAAGGATGACACTAAATGCCCCTACTATGCTGAACAAACCACACATGAAGTTTTAGAATTACCTCCTTCCACACCAAATTATGTGACTAATTGGCAAGGAAAATTAATGTGACATACAGATCCTACATGTGTGAATTAATGTAACATATGGATCCTACTTGTCACACAACGTGGATTGAAAATGTAATCTCTTAACCCAATTGGATGCATTTTACAAAGTTTTTGTTTTGCATACAGAGTCTTTATTGAGTATGATGTCTCAGTTAAACTCTAGATATGTGCAGTTACTCATAAATGCATTAGAGTTGTTAAACTCTAGATACGTGCAATTACTTGTAAATGCATTACAATGCGAAAAATTACCTGCCTGTATAAAGTCTTTCACCGAGGAGAAAGTAAGCTAGAAGAGCCACAAATACCGTTGAAACGGGATCAAAAATGGCCAAAAAAACTGGTCCTTTCTTTTCTGTGCACCACGAAGATTTTAAGACCGGATCACACAGCTCACTGCAATACAGGGCGCATTAGAAGAATCTTATGATTCCCTTTTTTAATGCAACATTTCATATTCACCACTTATTATACTCACACAGAATATAATATGGACCAGAGGTCAATGTTGAATCCAATTGCCCAAGCTGCCCGTCTATGTTCTATGCACACTGTGAAGACAGCTGATTGTGAAGTCCATCCATGTTGTCAGTGACAGTTGAGCAGGATATCTTTTCAACGTGATTGCCTGCATTGTTTTATTTTATTTTGTAGAAAATATTCACATGCATCATATACCAGCATCACCCATGACAATTATCAGAAATTCTATCTTCAATCTCACATAGTTAACTGCAAATCAGAAAAAGAAAAAGAAAAAAAGAGTGTCATTAATATGGTGAATAATATGTGGTCCATATGTGTCGAGATGGTTAATGCGTGGGTGAAGATGGTGGTTGATTATGTGCTCGACCTCATATTCAACGGTTATTTGAGCTTTTTCTAATTTGCAGTTAATCGATGAATATGAGATCGTGCTATATGCATACACATTTGTAATAGTTGTGTACACCTCAGTAGGTGCAATATAGTTGAGTGAGGGCTAAAACCTGCATAATATACCATATAGACCATGTACATGTTTAAAGTCAAACCCACCCTGCAACCATTGGAAAAGACAATTAATTGGCCATTTATTTTGTTCCTTTATCAGAAGCATATAGGGTTTCTATATGTGCTTACCCAAGAAGAGAAAGAACAAAAAGTTCCAAGAAAAGAGCAATTGTGAGCTTTGGTCTCTGTTTTCTGCAGGAGGAGAGTTAAAGATCAATAATTAAACCTATCACAAAATAGGTAGAATTGTTGGAGTTATCATGATTGACGTAGAAAAATGTTCTCTTATCAAACAGTTTATCATGTTACGTTGCTAGACAGTAAATCTAACTAGATCAATGTTGATTGGACAGACTCTTAGTTTAACATTCAGTGCTAAATTGATGACACCAAATATCTTGCAAAAGAATGTTACCCTATAAGTACAAAGGCAACTTTATGCATATATTTACCTTTCAAGAACATAGGCAAAAGGGAACATCACTAGGCCGGACACAATATGTCGATAAGTTATGTAGACATGAGGGTTCATCCCATGATTGAAAGAAGCTTCCGTGAGAAAATATAGAAATGTGAAGGCCACTTGAGCTAAAACCATGAGGAGGTGTGGCTTGAACTTCCTGTGAACTCCCCCAAGGTTACTACACGCCTCCTGTGCCATAACCTCCACTGGTTGGTCCCTTTCGTCCTTCTCAAGTTTCATTTCTTGACAAGATGGAGAAGCACATCATGCATGTTTTCTTCATATAGAGGGTAATAGAATAGTTGAGTCTTGATTCTTGTTTCATGTTGACAGTATCAGGTTCTTGATTAAATTGCTCAATATAATAATATCGGGTATGTAATTTGGAATATGATTTTTGCACCATAGATTTCGGGGAATTATTCGAGAATCTTATTACAACTGAAGACTTTATTATTGATGTGAGTGAAAATCATGCATCCATAGATTTGGTTTATGCACTAAAACATCCTTGTACATGAGTGATTATAGAATACTACAGAAGTACGAATAACGCTTTCTTAAATACATTCCGAGAGTGCGGATAACACCTTAAATAAGAAATTATTTTGTCCCCCTACTTCAATTTTTTTAATATTTTCATGACAGCATAGGGTCACATTGTGTGCAGTACTTAACAAACTGCTATCTGAAAAATCAGATGTCTGAAGAAGCTAGGCCTTTTAGTTTTAAGAAAGCAATAACGCCCACCACACCACACTTTGAAAGAGAAGCTTTTGCTGAGCACACAACTTCCCACTCACTATTTCCAGGACCACACTGAAAACAGACAACTCAAACATGCATCTTTCAGATTAAGAAAATACATACTTTCCCAAGTGGGAATCATTTTGGTTAAGGAGTTTCTGCAGGTCATGATTAATAGCCTCTAAATTTAGTTAAGGAGACAAATTAATGGGTTAATAATAAGTGATGACAATGTGTTTAAAGAAGGCATATTGGGGTTCTCTAACTTTCACCTGCCAGTAACCAAACACTAAGCCAACATCCCTCTGCTTCCACTGACTTATTTTGGTAACCATTTGTTGTTGACACAATTGTAAATAACACTTCTCTTGCTGCTGCAGACCCTACGCCAAGATCGCATTCCATAAATAAAAGAGCTAACAAAATATTACAAATGACACAGAAAGTGTCCTGCTCAAACATAAGGAAGTTTAAAGTAGACTTCTATAGGAAAAATGATGCACTAATCAATGGACACTTTTTTGAGCGAGCCACGGGTTCCTGCAGCTTTTGTATGAGCAAGTTTAAAGAGGACTTCCTTTCTCTTCCTCCTGCTCACGCAACTTTTCTTATTACTTTCATCATCTTCTTCTTGTTCACGGTTTTATTGGTTTTCGATTCCCTCTCTCAGTGGATTCTAGGGAATGATCCAATCTAACCTTTAGGGTTCACCATGCAGCACATCCTTCTTGGCTGAAGTGATTTTCTGTATGTTATTATCCTTGTGCTCTTCATATGTTGTCTGATAAGAGGACTCTTCTGACTTGATATATACTTCATCTCCTTCTTTGCCCCACAACAGCAAGTACAGGCCAAGGATGACAATAAATGCCCCTAGTATGCTGATCAACAAACCACATATGAACTGTTAGAACATCCAAGCCACTACCTCCCTCTACTTTTAACCCACTCTCGCAGTTAAAATTGGATATATTAATGCTAAAACAATCATACATTTGGACGCATTAGCGAATAATCATATTTTTAGACTACATTAGTGAATCAAATTATGTGATACGTTAAGTTTCAATTACTAATTGGTAATAATAATTCAAGTATAACAAATGGATCCCACTTGTCACATAATGCGATTCACTTATGTGGCATGAAAGTAGTAACTGGAAACTGCTTTTATTGATGCATTATACAAAGTTTTCATTTTGGACAATGAGGAAACCCTGCATACCTGCAATGCCTTAGTTAAACTCTAGATACATGAAACCACCCGTAAATTCGCATTAGGATGAATAATGCAAAACGTTACCTGCCGGTATAAAGTCTTTCACCGAGGACGAAGTATGCTAGAACAGCCACCAATATTGTTGAAACGGGATTAAACATGGTCACGAAAACTGGCCCCTTCTCTTTTGTGCACCATAGTTGAATGAAGATTATAAGACCAGAGCACACTACTCCCTGCCATACACCACCCACATTAGAACAATCAATCTTACTGTAAAGCAACATTTCATACTTTCTTATTAGACTTACAGCATATAATATGGACCAGAGGTCGATGTTGAATCCAATTGTCCAAGCAGCTCGTCTATGTTCTATACACACTGTGAAGACAGCTGATTGTGCTGCCCCTATAAAGCTCATCCATGTAGTCAGTGACAGTTGTGCAGGATATCTTTTCAATGTGATTGCCTACATTTTTTTTTTAATCAGAAAATTATTTCAAGATCACCTTATGAATTATCAGACATTCCATCTTCAGTGTCACATATATGTAATAGTTGTGTATGTTTCACAATGTACAATATAGGTTTGAGCAAGGGCTAAAACCTGCATTATGTACCAGATAGACCATGTTATGCAGCTTGCAACAGTAAGAATTGAACCCTTCAACCAGTTCTCATGGATGGAGGATTTTCCTTCGACATGGATTAATGGATGCCATAAATTTCTCACAATAGGCCCTTTGTACAATGTCATGGTCATTACACCAGCTAAGGAGACGAGGGTTCCCAAAACTTTTGCTAACCCACGAGGATTTCGAAGATTAAGAACCTCCAACCTGAATTCAAAGGTAATTTATCAAGGGTAAAACATGACTTGATGCTTCGGATTTCTGGATTAATTAAGAGGTTCACTAACTTGAGTACAATCGCAATTACAAAAGTTACGGAAGCTATGGTGTTGACCATTGATGCAAGGAAGGTAGGAGAGGTATATCTTAAGCTTGCAAAGTACATGTTTAAAGTCAAACCCACCCTGCAACCATTGACAAAGAGGCTTAATTAGCTAGCTCTTTATTTTTGCCTTTATCCAGAAACATATATGGGTTCTGCATGTCCTTACCCCAGAAGCGAAAGAACAAAAAGTTCCAAGAAAAGAGCTAATGTGAGCTTTGGTCTGTCTTTTCTGCAGGAGGAGAATCAAAGATTAATAGTTAAACGCATAACTTAAATGATAATATGCATGTAGAAATGTTAAAAGTTATGCATAGAAGCATAGAAAAATACTCTAAGACTGTCTGACATGTTATGTTTCTAAACTGTTGATCTTGCTAGATAATTGATTGAATGGACAAACAGTTTAGTGCATGGTGGTAGATTTAATATAACATAACATGCCAGATATTTGACAAAAGAATGTTGCCCTATTATACCTTTCAAGAACATAGGCAAAAGGGAACATCACTACACCGGCCACAATATGTCGATAAGTTATGTAGACATGAGGGTTCATCCCATGATTGAAGGAAGCTTCGGTGATAAAATACAGAAATGTATAGCCCATCTGAGTTAAAAGCATGAGGAGGTGCGGCTTGAACTTCTTGTAAATTCCCCCAAGATCATTACATGCCTCCTGTGCCATAACCTCCTCTGGTTGGTCTCTTTTCTTCCTTCTCCTATTTCAATTCTTGACAAAGCTGGAGGAGCACATCATGCATGTGTTCATATAGAGGATGGTGGAATAGTTTGAGTCTTGGTTCTTGTTTCATGTTGACAGTATCAGGTTCTTGATTAAGTTCCTCTGATGTGCTAACAATTTCCTGACTTCATTTTATAGAAAAGATAGGGGAATAGTAGAAGATACCATGCATGGCCCTGATCAATTAATCCAATATTCTCATACCCTGATTGAATATTATATGGGAATTCTAATTAGAACATACTTTCATGGATTTTTTAAGAAGTTATTATGTGCTGGTCCATTGTCATGAAAGGAGGTAAATTGTCTGCGAGTTTGTTCTAATTACTCAAGATAAGAATCGTTTGTGTCATTACATCCATTTGGAATATGACTTTTGCATCATTGATATTATTAGGGAACCATTCCAAAAAATCAGAAAAATCAGAACAAAAAAACATCGTATACTTATAAAACTGCAATCAGAAAAATCAGGTGTGTAAGGAAGGCTTTTCATAAAGCAAACTCCCACCACCACACCTTGAAAGAATTAGCTTCTGCTGAGCTCAACCCAACCCTCAATATCTGGATCTGGTATCAAAGACACAACTTCCTACTCACTATTTTCCAGGACCACACTGGAAAGAGACAACATTTCATGTATTCATCTTTCAGATTTTCAAAATACTTTCCCATGTGGGAATCATTTTGTTAAGGAGTTGTACGTACAGGTCATGATTATTAGAGCCTCTCTAAATTCAGAAAAACTTGTGTGAAAACGGGGCTATTTTCGACCAATCATGGTATGACAAGTGGAAAAATTATCACGTGTGACATACTCTGATTGGTCGAGAATAGTAAAACAGTACTATTTCCGTTCCACATTAGAAAAATTTGTGTGAAACGAGAATAATACTATTTTACTATTCCCGACCAATCGCAACATGCCACCCCTAATAACTTTCCAACGTGACAGTCTTTAATTGTATCGCTATTTCACATAAGTTTTTTAAGTTGCACTCATGTGTTTTTCTTCTAATTTTAGTTTTAGATTGACAAATGGGTTATGATAAGTGATGACGATGTGTCTAAAGTAGTGCCCGATAGGTTCTTGGGATTCTCTGACTTTCACCTGCCATTGGGCCCTCACTAACCACTAACCCAACATTGTCTGCTTCCACTTACTTTTGTTGGTAGACAGACACACTTCTCTTGCAGCCTTGCTTGCTGCCACCTATCCCACAATATGATGGTCCATCAATTTCAGAGAAGACTGCTTTGAAAGACACAAGGTTTAATTTGTTGCAGACCTATGCCAACACCACATTCCATAAATACACATACCTACCAAAATATTACAAATACCAATGACACAAAGCGTCTTGCTCAAACATAAGCAAGATTAAAGCACACCGCTTTAATAAAACTGATACAATAAAAGGACACACTTTCCAGCAAGCCATGGGTTCCTGTAGCTTTTTGTATAAAATAGCAAACTTCCAGTGGGATTCGAACAAAATGCATCAAGTAGACACATGAGGAGTGAGGACCACTAAACTTAGATGGCAATTTGCTCACCGTTGCAAGTTGATATTTTGAAAGAAAAAGAACTCCATCCCTCTGATTTAGAATAATGTTCACCGGAAGCAAGCATGCTATTGTTTTTGTATTAGAAAAGAAAATGAAGATGTAGTGGCAAGATGCCACACCAACAATACAGATAGTTTAAGTTATTGTATGCAAAATCATTGTTAGCTAACTCATAGTGGAAAACTGGAAGGAAGAAAGCATACACTCTCTGCCTTTCTCCTCAATAATATTACAAACTCATAAGGATCTTTCTGTCACTAACCAATTCACATCATCATCAATTTGGACATCAATTTGGACAAATTCGACAGAAAAAGTAGTAATTCCTTCTGCTAATCCTTCAAATTTACAAGTAAATGTATATCCATTTTATAATTCCAGTTTGATACAACTGTTTCCCAACTCTAATCCCACTTCTTCCAGTGGAAAGACAACATAATGAGAGTAAGTTTTTAATATTGTACTGCTATGTTCTATCCAGTTTGTTTCCTTTTCTATTGACACTGCAATTTCTTGTTTCTGTTCTGAAGAAAAAAAAGAAGAAATATATATGACAAAGAAGGGCTACAATGAGATGAAACAAATCCTATGGCCTATACAAACAAGTGGTCTAACATGCTGCCAATAGCCAGAGCATAATTAGAGAAGAAATTGTAATTGTTACCCAGCTCAGGTATGCCAATGCAACTGCCATCTGGTATTTTTGACATTCCTCTCCAAAATTGCAGTGGCTCAAGTCACTAAAGTACAACACAGTTATGCCAGCTGAGGCAGAAGCGGCTGCAAGAGACAGTGTTGCTGTAACCTGTTGGAAAAGGAAAAGAGTAAGCTGTTAAATGACAAGCACTATATGGACACACAAGATTTTCATGTAAGGAAGTCAAGGATTTGTAGAGTCTGACCCAGTCTCCAACTACAAAGAGGCTAACCAATACAGGGTTGTGGAGGACCTTCTTTTTCACTAAGGAATATGCATCTAGCAATGCCAGCACTAAACTCCAGATGACTTGCAGACCCATTGAAGCAATCAGGTAGCTGCAAAATGAGCATTGCCTTAAAAAAAATATTACAATTTTTTCCAGGACAAGAAATGACATGTGATGCATCAAGAGATGCTGAAATCTGTCCCATAAGCCTACAGAATCCGGTTACACAAAACTGAGCTGATAATAACTAACAAAACAAGGCCAAAGAAGAACACTGCCCAGAACATTTGGTACATCTAATTCTAATTTGTATTCAAGTTTTGGTTCTCCAGTGATGCAGAGGAACTTCTAAATTCCTTCTGCTTACATTTTATTTAGGAAAATTTCAAGAACCAAGAGTGTTTCAATCCCATCTATTCTTCCTACTGTAATCAAAATATTGGAAACAAATCAGTGAGTTGGGAAAGGAAAGCAATACCAGAAAGCTGTGAAATTGAAGAAGCTGGCAGTGGTAGCCATGGAAGCAATAGACCCAGCAGCAAAGACGCATTGGGAAATCCTGAGAAGAAGCCCTGTCAAAGTCCCAGGCGTCCCAGGAAAATCCTTCATTTCCTTGTTCTCTCAAAACCCAAAAAAGTATCAGATTCTTAATGGGTCAGAGAAAGCACCCATCTTTCCTTAACATTGAAAGGCAAACCACATCACCCACAAACTAAAAATCACAAACCTCAACAACCCACTATTGCTCTCAGAATAAAAGTACACAGAGGACCCAAAAATCAGTTAACCCAGAAAGGACTTGGTATACAACTGGGAAGTTTGAGTATTGTGAAAAGAAGAGTACTTGGACAGCAATTTACAAGAGAGAGAGAGAGAGAGAGAGAGAGAGAGAGAGAGAGAGAGTTGCTAAGCTTAATTAATCAAGATAATATCAGCCAAACCAAAACTGGGATTCTAAAGCTCTCTCTCTCTCTCTCAACCAACATGCCTGCAGTCAAATAGCGTGGGCAAATCTGGCATGCTTCACCCACAACATGAAATGAATAATCGAACTGTTTTCTTCCTCCCTACGCGCCACTACGAGCGTATATTTAATCCCCGCATGATGCCGTCGGACCATTCGACCCAACCCGTGGAATCTCAAATCAGTCAACGGATCAGCAGAGCAAATAAAATGAATATGACCCTGTTCAGAGTTCAGACCCACCTAACGGACCTGGAGAGCAATTGGACCTGCCTATTATTAGCATCCTTCGCGTTCCGGCCTATTTGCATATTATCTTTTTTTTTTCTCTCAAGAAATTTATTTACGTCAATAGATTACAAAAATTGTAAAAGCATTTTCACCCATTTATCATGGAAAAAGATAAGGGAAGACAATGACAGTTACTATTCACGTAAATAGTGACTGCCGTAGCAATTTTTTTGATGCATTCCCACCCATTGTTATAGCAACCCAAAGACAACTACTATTCACATGAGATACAAGAAGGGAAATTTGTATTGAGTTTTGGCGTAGGAAGTGAAGAATATGGCTAGATATTTATATAAAAAAAAAATTATGAAAATTTTGGTTTTTTTTTCTTATTTAATTTTTTTTTTTGTATTTAAATTGGTTGCTAACGTCATTGTGACATCAACATGAGATCAGCTTGTCTAGACTTGGGTACGGCCCACATTTTCCCGGGCAGGTTTGCACCCCTAAGATGGGTTTTGGGAAGCTGGGGGGCTTTTACCTAGGCAACCCTTATCGCTGGAAGTACTCAAAGGAGTTTGTAGTTCAAGTATTTAAGAGTAATTACTCATGAGTTAGAGGTCTTATATTCGAATCCCCTTACCCTAATATTGTTTGTGTAAAAAAAACTGATTACAAAAGTTAAAAAGACAAATTTTAAAATCAGAAATGATGGATAAGGTCACGATGGGACCTGGTCGCAAGAATTAGGCCCAATACTGATCCTCTAGTAACATGGGTCGATTTGGCTTCGGCTAACGTCGGGCGTGACTTTTTGGTGTTCCATTGGACCTTAAAATATGTATCTTTAGTCGTTTTCCGTTATATAGGGATACATATAATTATCCGTGATTAGAAAGAAAAAAAGGTAATAAAAGAATCAGTGAACATTATTTGGTGAAATAATAGTTGATATTGGTTGAATGAAAGTAGCATTTTCCAAACTGTGAAAAGGAATTTTTTTTTATGAAGTTTGAATTTATACCAGTTCCTTGAATGGACCGTTATATAGAGCTCTGGATGGTGGCATCCATTGAAGAAACATGCCAGAGGAATTCTTAGTTTAACACTTATAATTCGGAGGAAAGTGATTCCAGAGTATATGAAGAAATCCCCAATGTTGCAATACTTTTTTTTTTAAAAGGTCAATGGGTTTAGTCCAATTAAAAATGGAATTTTCTTGACTTGTAGATTAGTGGTCTTATGTTCGAACTCTAATAACACTTTGGTAGTACGTGCTGTTTATACCATAATCAACCGAGCATATCCAGCCTCAAAACAACTAGCACCAAGGCAGACACGCCTTCTCCCCTGCCGAAGGAAGACACTTTTCCGAGGTGCCAGGTACCTGCCGAAACTCCCGACTACCGAAGCCCACAAACTGCTAAACCTAATTCTCATGACACGTGTCACTACCGCGGCGACTTGCACAAAGTCCCACATCGGAAATCTACACCAACCTTCCACTTTCACTTCCTTATAAAAAGGGAACAGTACCCTCTGCAAAAGTTACCATTCTTAGCTGACTTAAGCATCGGAGAGCCTTCGGCCGGCACCACACCGGTATCCGAAGCTTAACGGCTGCTTCTCCCATTTTTGTCTTCTGCAGGCTAACCTTTATTTGAAGGTCCAGACCCTCTCCTTGCTGAAGGCAAATCCCTTTTATTTTCTCTAAGTTGACCCTCTCCGAAAAAGAGCATCAACAGTTTGGCGCCGTCTGTGGGAAACGATACTTGAATCCCATTTTTCTCTACCAGCCCAGCTGGCTCCTTCTCCTATCCGGCCCCGTCGCCTCTTTTTCACTCCACACTCAGCTATGCCTACTGAGGATAGCCAGGGGACTCAGCACCACACCCCCCAGGGGGGTACCTCCCAGAGGAGACCTTCAGCAAATGCCAATCTTCAGGCAGAACTGGAGAGCCTCCGCGCCAATGTCACCAGGATGTCTGAGAAATATGACCATCTTCATGCTAAAAACGTCGAGCTCGAGCATGACTACCGCACACTGAAGCGTAACTGGGAGATGAATCAGGCCCAAGGCTCCCAACGCAGCCTTACCCAGGAACCTGAGCGTACCCAGCCAAATCAGCCGGAGCACTCCCACCACAATGTCCCAATCTAGCCTAGGCCCAGCAAGGGTAAAGGCCCCCTCCATCCAGAGTCGACCAAGTCGCGGCTTCTCCGCATCTCCCCGCTGAGGAACCGACCCCATGAACCAACAAAGGTTTACAGGGATTGCAGGGACCGTATCCGGGACCGTCAGACTGAACCCCTTCTTATCCCCGTTAATCTCCAAGACCCAAAGGTGACACACCTAGGCCCCCCACCAAAGCCTACCCAACTACCCCTTGGAGAAGGTATAGGGGACTCGGAAAACTGGGGGTAGGATTATTTAGAGGACTACGAGTCTTATCACACCGAGACGTTCGAAGAACTTTATCCAGCCTATGACCACCCACACACTAGACCCCCAGCATCCGAGACTCTCCCTCATACCGACCCGACAATGAGACTTCTCTTTGAGAAAGTCCGGCGCCTGGAGAGCGAACAACATTGCAACCATCAACCCCTTTGGGCAAAGCCACGACCTGGGCCCTTTACCGAACGCATCCTTAATTACCACCAGGAGAAGGACATCCAGCCACTCCGCATCGCCTTCTACACTGGCACGGAGGATCCTTTTACCCACATACATTCTTTCCAGTTTGCCCTGGGATGCAAGGGCCTCACTGACGAAGGCATGTGCCTTCTCTTCCCTTCCACTCTCAGTGGCGCGGACCTAAATTGGTTTTACAGGCCGAACCCCCGCACCATAAACATATTTGACAGTCTAAAACAGGCTTTCTTAGACCATTTCATGATCCAGACCGATCGCTTCTACCCCGCAGACGACTTATACATGCTTCGACAGTGTGAGGACGAGCCCCTTCGGGAGTATGCAGCCAGGTTCAGCCACGAATACTCCCGCTGCCCAGATACTGATGATCGTGCCGCCTTCAGTGCTTTCAAGAGTGGCCTCCGAGAGTCTAACTTCCGATACCTAGTGCACAGTAACCCTTGGAACACATATGCTGAGCTCATGAAGCAGGCAGCAGTTCACGCCAAGGCCGAGTATTTCAACTCCAAGCGCAGGCCGGCAACCCCGGCGTGTAATCCTTTTGCTGATCCTCCGCCTGCCTCAGTACCCATCCCAGCTCCACCTCAACATTCTGCCCCTACACCGCACCCCACCATCAGTTTAGTGGAAGCAACCCCCCCAGGACAAGTGACCGGGTCCGCTCCACTCCCCTTCTCACCCAAGCCTAGGTTCGAGGTCTTCACTACCCTGAACACTACCTACGAGAATGTCCTGGTGCATGAGGCATCTATCATACCCAAGCCTCCCCCCCGGAGACCAGGCAGCAAGCCCATGCCCAACACGGGTGTCTTCTGTCGCTTTCATCAGTTCGGTGGCCACGATACCGAATCTTGTGTTGCCTTGCGCAACATCATTGAGGGACTTATTCGTGAGGGGAAACTGGATAAGTATGTGCACAACCTCCCACCCCCACCTAACCCTCACCAACGGCAGATCAACACGATCTCAACCATCAGTGGTGGCCCTACCTTGGCCGGAACCTCCAACAACTCCATCAAACATTATGTCCGCTCCACCTATGCGCACCAGGTCTTCAGCACTGAACAGGGACGCTTGCCGAAGACACCAAAAATAGGCTGGGCCCCCATTACCTTCTACGAGGAGGAGGAGCGTGGCGTTATCCTCCCTCATGATGACCCAATCATTATCCGAGTCGACATCTCTAATTTCGACGTTGGGCGCATCTTGGTAGACACTGGCAGCTCGGTCAGTGTAATGTTTGCTGATACCTTCAACGAGCTCCAGGTCTCGTCTCATTTGCTCGACCGCAGTGTCACACCCCTAGTAAGCTTCTCGGGCGATGTGGTCCAGCCTATTGGGAGCATTCATCTCCTTATCTCTATTGGAACGGCCCCTCAGTGGAAGACAGTCACCACTCCCTTCCTCATTATTGATTGCCCCACAGCCTACAACGTCATCCTGGGGCGCCCAGCCATGGCCCAGATGAAGGTTTTCATTTCCACACATATGTTACTGTTGAAATTTCCTACGCCTTATGGCACAGGCACGGTGCTCGGCGATCAACTTGGCGCCCGAAGCTGCTATGCTTCGGCAGTGAAATCTACTAATCGCCAACATAGGGGTGAGGCCCTAGCTGTAACCCGAGCCCCAGCCCCACCTCGAGCTGGCACTGAGCGCCCAGAAGACCATAGGGAGGAATCTGCCACCCAACATGCCGAACCTGTGGAGGACCTCGAACTGGTCACCCTCTACGAGGACATCCCGGATCGACAGGTCAGGATCGACACATCCCTTTCACAAGAGCTTCGCTCTGATCTTGTTGCTTTCCTCCGCCTCAACTCTGAAGTCTTTTCTTGGTATTACAACGATATGCCGGGCATATCACCTAACGTCATCTCCCATAGGCTAAGCATTAATCCTGCCGTCCGACCCGTTTGGCAGAAGCGTCATGCTTATGACCCAGAGCGGTATGAGGCCATGAAGGCGGAGGTGGATAAGCTGAGCACCATTGGATTCATCAAGGAGGTGGATTATCCCACATGGCTAGCCAATGTAGTCATGGTACGTAAACCAAGGAAGGGCTGGCGCATGTGCGTAGACTACACAAATCTCAACCGGGCCTGCCCAAAGGATAGTTTCCCCCTACCCCGCATTGACCAGCTAGTTGACGCCACCAGATCTTCATGCACCCTGAGGACCAGGCTCATACCTCCTTCATCACTGACCGTGGTTTTTACTGCTACAAAGTTATGCCCTTCAACCTCAAGAACGCCGGGGCTACGTATCAACGTTTGGTGAACAGCATTTTTGCTCCACTAATTGGCAACACCATGGAGGTATATGTTGATGACATGCTGGTCAAGAGTTGCACTGCTGCCCAGCACATCCCCAACCTCTCTGCCATGTTCACCATCTTGAAGCAGTATAAGATGCGGCTCAACCCCACCAAGTGTGCTTTTGGAGTGGCCTCCGGCAAATTCCTTGGCTTCATGATCAGCCAAAGGGGTGTCGCAAGACAGTCAAGGATATCTTGGACATGACGATACCCAAGACAGTCAAGGATATTCAGAGCCTTACCGGGCGTGTCGCAGCCCTGACCAGATTTATCTCTAAAGCCACTGATCGTTGCGCCCCATTCTTCAAGGCACTTAAGGGTAGCAAGCGCAGCATTACCTGGACTGCCGAATGTGACCAGACATTCGGCGAGCTCAAGGCGTACATGAGCCGAGCCCCTTTATTGTCAACCCCTGAGTCTGGGGACGTCCTCACCATCTACCTCTCTGTCTCGGCCACAGCGGTTAGCTCAGTGCTCATTCACCCACACGAAGGTGCTGAACATCTGGTGCACTATGTGAGCAAAGGATTGCAAGATGCGGAGGCTCGGTACCCAGACATTGAGAAACTTACTTTCGCACTGGTAGTCTCAGCTAGACGCCTCCGACCATACTTTCAAGCTCACACCATCCATGTCTTAACCAACCAACCACTCCGGCAAGTGTTGTAGAAGCCAGAGACTTCTGGGCGGTTAGTTAAGTGGGCCATTGAACTTGGCGAGTTTGATATCCACTATAAACCTCGCCAAGCCGCAAAGGGCCAGGCCGTGGCTGACTTCATATCTGAATTCACGTAACCCCATACTATGGCCAGTTCACAGATTACGATCGAGCCTACTCCTACCTCGAGCCAGGTCCATGTCGCCAGTAACGGCACCCTAGACTTGACTCAGCCCTTATGGACCTTGTATGTGGATGGCTCTTCCAATGCCCAGGGATGTGGAGCTGGCCTCGTTCTCATATCCCCAGACAAGGTTGTCCTTGAGTACGCCCTCCGCTTCAAATTCCACGCCTCCAACAATGAGGCCGAATACGAAGCACTCTTAGCCGGCCTTCGACTAGCCGAGGAGATGGGCCCCAAGCAAATCCAAATATTCAGCGACTCGTAGCTTGTTGTTCACCAAGTCAACCAGGACTTCACGGCCAAGGACGTCTCCATGACAGCCTACCTCCAACATACCCGCCACCTGCTTACAGCTTTAAATGCTTATCTCATAGGCCAGGTGCCACGCTCTGAAAACAGCCATGTTGATGCATTAGCAAGACTAGCCTCGGCGATGGAGCAGGGCACATGTCGCAACATCCACATCGAGTTCTTGGACCAGCCCAGCACACGGGCACCACTCATTTGTGTCATCGATCAAAGCCCTACATGGATGGACCCTATCACCCAGTTCTTGCAGAACCAGACCCCACTTGCCGACCCTGCTGAAGCGCGGCGTGTTCGCTACCGTTCCGCTCGATACTTGATCATTAATGGCGCCCTATTCAAGCGCGACTTCAGCCTCCCCTACCTTCGGTGCCTGACCCCAGAGGAAGGTAGCTATGTCCTACGGGAGATTCATGAGGGTATCTGTGGTAACCACTCAGGCGCTCGCTCCCTAGCACACAAGATCATTCGGCAGGGATACTTTTGGCCATCACTTCACACTGAGGCCTAGACCTTCACCCAGAAGTGCGATAAGTGTCAGCGATTTGCCAACATCCCACAACTTCCAGCTGAGCCATTGACAGCCATTGTCAGTCCTTGGCCATTCGCCCAATGGGGACTCGACCTCATTGGACCTATGTCTGAGGGCAAGGGCCAGGTCAAGTATGCGGTTGTAGCTGTGGATTACTTCACCAAGTGGGCTGAAGTTGAGGCCTTAGCCACCATCACTGCAGCCCGTATCGAAACTTTTGTCTGGCAAAACATCGTATGTCGCTTTGGCATCCCCAACACCATCGTCACGGACAATGGACGGCAATTTAACAATGCAAAGTTCAAGCAATTTTATTCCAACCTCAAGATAAAGCTTTGCTTCGCCTCCCCAGCCCATCCTCAATCTAATGACCAGGTGGAAGCTGTGAACAAGATCATCAAGAAAACTCTAAAAACTAAGCTTGACAAAGCTAAGGGTTGCTGGCCAGAGCTACTCCCAGAGGTTCTCTGGTCCTATCGCACCACCTTCCGGACCTCAACAAGAGAAACACCTTTCTCTCTCTCCTTTGGTACCGAAGCAGTGGCACCAGTGGAGATTGGCCAGCCAACATGCGCAATGTCGCTTACAAACAGCGCATCGCTAAGTACTACGACTCCCGAGTCAAAGCCCGTGCTTTCAAATTTGGGGACTGGGTCATGCGCAAGATTTCCTTGGCCACAAAGAATCCTACTGAAGGTACCTTGGACCCAACATGAGAAGGTCCTTATGAGGTTACCAAAGTCTGCCGCCCCGGCACTTATCAGCTTCGTGA